TAAATATTTATATATGAAGGCAAACTAGCCCTGGGTGTCTGTTTCCATGTTATTCTCTAAGTACTGTAAGTAATAAATACGTCTGTGTTGTACGGTCACATTATTGTGTGAATTTCTTAATTATCAATTAATTGGTTTAGAATAAACTAAAATAAGATACATTTGACAGATATTATTATTGCGCAAAATAAAGCCCCACTGTGTTGAACTGATTCAAGCAAATGCGAGATCAAGGTTGAAGAGATGTTCTATAAATTCCAGATAGTACTTGTTACGTTACCAGGTACGTGCAAAAATTTGAACAATGTCCTTCTTTCCTGTAACGGGTTACATTTGCTCCAAGAAGAAAAACCTCAGCAAGTTAACATATTCAGGAGGAGTAGGTAGGGAAATGATGTCTTGATTTCTGCATCAGGCAAATGTCTGGCACATTTAATTCAAAGATAGCTATATGCAGTGTGACATTATACCACGTGGATGAGATTGTACTTTTAATAAGGTCAGCATCAGCAATACATTACTGAGTCAATTAGGTACAGAACTGTAGGGTAGAAGGAACCAAACCAGTCAGAACCAAACATGGTGAAGCAGCGCTCATTTGTTCTGCTCTAAACCTCAGATTAAGATTTAAGACTTTTCTGTTTGCTGCTGCTTTTAATTGAACCAGATTCAAGGATAAAGTGGATGCTTTTAAACTCTATTTCATAAACTGCATCACAACTTGTTTTCTATTTTATCCTTGTTTGTTCTAAATGTCCTTTTCATTTTCCTCCATGTTTTGATGGTTTTGATGGGTTTACGTGAAGCGCTTTGAGTTGTCTTGTTGAAATGTGCCATACAAATACTTTGGCCTTGCCTTGCCTTGGTGGAGAGGTGAACAGATGATGACATGCATTGCGAGACACATTTAGCGAGATAACAGAAAAGGTAAGCAAGAAGAAAGGACTCATTTTTAAAAAAGGACAGCGTTAACTTGTAGTGTGATCCTACAATGGAATACAGAAAAAATGCAGTGAATGGAAAAGAGATGCTCTGTTACATGAAAAGGAGACATGAGTGGCGCAGCCTCAAGTTCAGCTCAAATGCACGGGCCACAAGGGCACCGCTAGAAAGGAAAAAGATCAAACCAAGATGGGGATGAAGTGATACAAATAATCCACGCTCTGGGAAGGTTGAAGCGAGGTAGGAAAATGAGTATTGGCAATTTACTAGAAAGGCTACCGACCAAACATCCGTGTCAGAGTTGAACCTGGTCGCTGATAAAGGACAATCATGTGAAGAGGTCCCCGGTGAGTTATAGTGATAGCACAAAATCCAAATCATAAAAAAGGTATGAGTGACACACGGGAGGGAATAAACAATTCCCATTCAGAGGAGATGAACGCACCCCGTGCCGGAGCCTGGAGCCTGACGGGTAAGCAGCCGGAGATGCTGGCCCTTCTCACAGTGATTTATGTCCACACCAGAGCAACACAATGTAGGAACAAGATCGGAGCACATACTGAAATGAACTTGGGTCCGCTGACTGATAGATCCCGTCCCCTCTCCACAACGTTTTAGGGACAGAGCGACAGATAAGGCTCTGGAGAATACATTCTCTTCAGTATATATCTCAAGACACAAAATGGAGGTGAGCACGGGGAGACAAACTTGCTTCTCCTCAGTTTGCAAAAAGATTTAAAACGCTTGCATAGAGGCTGTAGCTGTAAATGACCAGAAGGCAACATGGCACAGCATGGATGGTAACAAAACCCCTACACGTGTATTGAATTAATTAACTAATAATTTGTAGAAAGAAGGCAAAGGAGGGCCACACACACAATAGCAACCCGTGCTACTATTGTACTTTTTAATTTATAGATGCTTTTATTAGCTTTATTTATTTGTATCGATATTTATAGAGAGTAAAAAAAATAGTAACGTTAATGAACACCTGTGTGTGCTGTTTTCCATACTGAGGCAAAGCCAAGGGATGTAGTGAATAGGAATTAAATCTCTAAAAACTAGGAGAGATTATATGATTCATAGTGTGGTTCATAGCATTGTGAAACTATGATTTGTTAGGAACCTTACCAATAATACTGTATATGAAAATACACATTCATTTTTTACTGTACTTATGTATAGAGAGCTTCCCTCACTCTCCATTTTAAGATTTTACTTTAATTACTGTTTTGCACTAAATGACTAAACTTAGTCTTAACTTTTCTTATGGGTCTTGTTTTTTGTTGACAATCACAAATATTCCCAGTGTATATTTTTCGCTGAGTGGTTAGACCCAGCTGGCTCCGAAATGTTGATTTGGCCCCTGGCACTCTTAGTACAGGGTAAATTCCTGCTTTATTTGGCTCACATCTAAAAGATCAAAGAACTACCTAAATTGCCAGGTTCAATCAAGTCCAGATAAGCTAATGACAGACGCAATGATTTCAACTGTAAATCGCAGGCCTGCTCCTGGCTTACACTGCTGGAGAGGCTTGAAGGTAGTTTGTGTGGGGTTCCCCAAGAGAGAAAGCGGGATGGGGTTGAGGGAAACCTCTGCTGTCTCTATAAGCAATATAAGTGTGAAAATATTCCAATCCAATGAGGTATCAGAAATGAAAATAAATGTTGGGAATGATAATCAGCCATTTTATCCCTTGTGATGTGACATAGAAGAAGGCTCCCAATTTACTTCTTTTGTTTGCCTTCACCTAGTACGACACAATTTCCTCCTTCCCATTGCAGCTGGTTCCTTCAGATTCCAAAGGCGTCTTTCAATCGTTTGTCCATCATAATCAGAATTGTGCATGACCAGGTACCAAACAATGATAAGACATAGTGAGGATCATAGTGAGAATCCAAGGATCCATATTGATTACTGTTTTCAAATATGTATTAATTAGTAGCATCTTCATCTAACAAAGGATATCACAATTAAATCTTTATCCAACAAACTTGTTCTGGGGAATTAACAATATTCATCTTCATAACTTATTTTCATATTAACATTATTTTCTGCAGCTGTTTTGTTTTGTGTACTAAATTAGCTAATCATTAACATTAATGGGGATGGTCTCAAGAATAGGAACACCTCTATCAGCTTATTAAATCCAAATCACCCAAACAACAAAAATTTATTTCGTGCACCTTCATTTATAAGAAAGTGAATCTTAGTATCGAGACATATTTGTGATGATCTCGAGATTAATTATTATTTTCTACACATTATATAGAGCGTCTATACATTTTATGCATACTGTTGTCAGACTGTAGTGTGTATGGTTTGATCTGGAAACATTACACACATTTTATTTCCATGACAGCATCCGGCTGAGTGAGTTTAGGCCACCAAGGGTGTGTCATAAGCGCATAATTCAAATCAATGGTTGCTTGTACAGCATTAAGCAAAGCTGAAGATAATTAACCGCAGCATTGTTTTTTTCCCTCTTCCATCCATCTAGCATCAGTTTTCCATTAAAACTAAGAATGAAATTAAACCGAAAGCAGCACTGTGAGCTGAAATAATGCACTCAAATACAGCATACATAGGAGAGGGCAGGGCAAATAACAACAAAATGGCAACTGTGATTGGTGGTCCCTCTTAACAATACTGGAAGTACAACATGTTACCAAGCAAACTGCTATCAGGAGAGCCATACTCTCAGTAACAGTATCTGTATTTGTAGAAAATAATTTGAGGAATAGATTCCTCCTCCACCAATTGCTGTTATAGTCATTACTCCAGAGACAGCCTGCAAGAAATCCATGCGATGGAAATGCCGAGAGGATCTTGGAACTAGATTTAGTATGAGTGGGCAGGTAATGTGTAAATATATAGAGAGCTTAACCAAAATATGCGTTATGTCACTTGGATTACAACTTTTGATGGTGGGCTACCTAATTATCTGGGTGGGCATGGACCTTCCTTTGCTTTCTGATACTAGTGTGCTGGTTATAAGATTTATGATGAATACGTTCTTCCGGGAGATTTGGATAAATATAGTTCGGAAAACCTGTATAAACCTAGCAGAAGAATAAAATGTTTAACCAAGAATAGTACAGTATTTCAGGTACACAAGAGTGTAGCAGCTAAAAGCAAAAAGAGAAAAATAGTATTCCCACAGTTCTTTAAACTGTAAAACATGTTTTGAAGAAGTTCACTTGCTATGGTACAAAACATTTCAAAGGATTCCCACTCCTTTTGGGACTATCAAACACTACTTTCTGTGCGTGTATGTTACTAAATGTAATATTTTTCTCTTTTTTCTATGCCTGTGTAAGGTAAGGTTTGGAGGGCCAGTGATGGTGTGCATTTCAGCTTCAGTGACTAATCAATGAAGGTCAGAGTGAAGATGAAGGGAACATATTAGAAAATAATGTGCTGTTGGGGCATTATGGGTGTTATGTATTATCCAACTGTCTTGAGCCATAGCTGTGTCCAGAAAAATGTTAAGTCATTAGCTGGTGGAAGCTCTGTAGAGTGACAACAATGGCCTTTTTTCCTTCACATCCAGTGCAGAAGTGAATCGAACAACAAGATATTGTCCCTCCACACTACTGCTTATCAAGGATTAAATAGTAATAGAGCAAACACACAAAGCACAAAGCTTCTGATAGCCAAGCAAAAGGAAAACATACCTAAACAAGCAAGAATGTGTGATCACATATAGCTTTGCTAAGGCCCAAAATTATGCATAATAGGACATGCAATCAGACTGGTTTATCTGTATGTCTGTTCATTTCTTTTGTGGCAAAACAAATTCAGCAGAGATTAAGATTCAAGCAAATATACAAAAAAACATGCGAAAAAAGATCAGATTTCTTATTACATGCAAAGTGATGCTAAACCGCTTTGGTAATAATCCATGGGTACACAGTGTTTACCTAACCTGCTAGGTAAGGCTAAGCAATCAAGTGGAAGATTAATCATCTTTTGGAGCAGTGTAAATAATTACCTCTAGTCGCAGTGCTGTGGACAGAGTTTTGTTTAGGAGGAGTGGCGGTGGTGTGGGTCATACCTCGCATTCTCGGGAGCCTGAGATGGTATAGGTGCATGGTCCGGTGCCATTCACAAGGACATCCATGGCCTCAGAGTTGGTGGGCTTGTAGTCCACATAGTACTCCTGAAGTGGAGAGCTCAGAGTGCGCTCCGTCTCTCTAGCTTTCTTGCGTCGCTTGCGAGCTGCTGTCGAATGCTCCTGCAGCTGCTTGACACTGCTAGGATAGCGCTTCCAAGACACGTAGATTACCAACAGGATCATCGCAACCGATAGAAAAAGGGCGACGCTTCCAGCCACAATCTTGTGAAACGTCACAGGCTCCAAGTCTTGCTCTGGGGGAAGGGCCGCAGGTGGGGTAACAGCTGAGGATGTCGGACCACCTTTAGATCCCTCTCCTCTCTTTCCAGAACCAGTAGGTAGAGCCAGGATGGCTGGCCGGCGTTCAGTCTGCACGGGGACTCTGGCGAGGGTTGGAGGGATACTCTCAGTGAGCGTTGTCGCTGGATTTGAGTGACAGACACCAAAAGCTTCAACAGCATCCATTACCTTTTCACCCTGGGCTTTCTTTGGGGAGGCGCAGATCATTGTGGTCTCCTTTGCCCCTCTGAAGTTTCTCAGCCAGGCCACCAGAGGACAGATGGCAGGGCCACAGTCCCATACATTCCCAGCTAAGCTTATTGTAGTCAAAGAGATCCACGCATCAACCACCTCCTGAGAGACATTGGTCAGCTTGTTGGAGTCCAGGTTGAGGGTCTGCAGGTTAGGTAAGCATTGGTAAACAACTGCATCAACTTCCATCAGGTCATTTCCAGAAAGATCCAGTTTCTGGATGGAGGCCCAGGTCCAGGTTAGGCCCTGGTTCATTGAGCGAATTCGATTCCACTGCAAGTAAAGTGCCCGCAGATTGTAAAGGCGAGGGAAGTGGGAGAAATTGATCTTTGAGAACTGGTTATGCTCTAGATGCAGCTCAGTCAGCTTGACTAGGCCGGAAAATGCATTCCGAGTGATACTGCGCAGGCGGTTGTAACCAAAATCCAGGAACTCAAGATTTCTGCAATCTTGGAACAGACGCACTGGGACGGTTTTTAGAGAATTTGAGCGTATGTGAAGGCTGAGAAGCTTCCGTAGGCCTTGGAACTGCCCAGGCTGTAAGGCTTGCAGCTTGTTGTACGACAGGTCCAGGTTACGCAAATTGGGGACAGGATGGAATGTGGTGTTGTGAAGCGATGTGATTTTGTTGGAACTCAATATCAACTCTTTCAGCCTGCGAACCCCCTGAAAGGCCATTCCATCCACAGAGGCAATGTAATTGTGGTCCAGATAGAGCCAGATAAGGTGGTTGAGGCCTAGAAACTGGCCTACACGAAGACTAGCGAGGCTGTTGTACCGTAAAGATAGGCCTTCACAGCCTCCTGAGAGGTTCTTGGGGACATCGCGAAAGGCGCTCGACTCACAATAGACAATTTTCCCATCACAGCGACAGCTCTTGGGGCACGGGCGCTCGCTCAAAGATGGGTTTGCCGCCAGCCACACCTGCATTAAGAGTTGGACCACTAGCCAGCGCCGCCGCAAAGCAGAGCCTACAGGTAGGGGTAGAGGGAGAGGAAAATGGCAAAGAAGAAAGAAGTTAAGTAGATGAGCATATTTCAGTAACACTATAAAGTAAAGAGAAATGAATATATTAGCTCACATACACTATGCACATACATCAAAAAGCTAACTGAATAATGCATTTTGTTTTGTTGGTAATACATAAGATGGGGGGGGACATCCTATCAGGTCGACAGAGGGGTGCGGAGGGACAGCAGCATTTTTCTCTCTGTCTGCTGGTAGGAGTGTGCTCACCTGTGTGTGCGTGCACGCGTCAGTGTGTGCCCATCAAGCAGAAAACAGACTTTCTTTGGGGGGGAGACGTTTGATGGGTGAGTCGGTCCCCCCCAATCAATGGTAGGGGAAACACTGGAGTAGAACGTCTTTTTTAGTAAGTCATGAATCATGGTGCCTTCCATCCACCTGTTTCTGGGGCTATAGATATGTTTACAACATAGTGCAACTTCTATAAAGGTTGGGGCAAAGGAAGTTGTGTTTAATAAAGATGAACACTTACATAGCTTTAGTATATACAAATAGAATTGACATCCTTATTAACCAAGGTTCATCTCAACAGCTTAGTTTTTTTTAAATCTGGAAAATCTTCTGCTATATGACTTGAATGATGTGACTCACACACCCCAAAGGCTTCAATGCAATTTGAATCATTTAATTTATGTATGAGGAGGTGAAAGGAAGCAAGATTCTGCACGTTGTGCTTCTTTTTCACAATTGTTTTTATATTTTCAGGACAGACTCTGCGGACTTCCAGTTTCAACAAACTAAATGTGGGGACTAAATTACGGGCGGGTAAGTTTTACTTAAAGCAGTAAAAGTAAAATGGAGTCTTTACTATAATCAGTTCTAGTGGTGAGTCCTATGGTAGAAGAAAGAAAGACCAGGGGTAGTCTATTTGACAGCAGCTTGTTTGGTACCAATTTGTTCTACATGACGGTGGAAATATTAATTTTAACAAGACACAGGCCTACAGCATGACTTGTTTGGACCCTGAGTGTTCCTCAGTTGTGTCTAATTATGACCGTGATCATTACCGTGATCGTACTGTGACTTAAAACCGTTGACGTAATTTTTAAGTTTGAATTAATGTAGTTCTATTTAAAAGCAGTAGGTGTTTTATTCTAATTCATATTGATCAATAAAGTATTCTATTATAATTTGTCATTTAAACACAAAAAGGTTTTATATTCAGATGCAGAACATTGTGTAGGCAGAACCTAAAATATGACTTAGCTGTTTCGATTGATGCAATTTGACCATGCACGTTTGCAATGAATACAGACTGACAATCAAAGATAACTTGCAGTTTGCTCAGTTGTATCTTTATCTATGTTTGTATTTAGTCATCCCATAAATCATCATTGCACCAATGGCCGTGGCAGATAAGTTTTGAAAGGCAGCGTGTAAAAAGCACATTAACATTCAAGAGCTGGTGGTTGTGTATATAATCCCGGAGGCGTTTTCAATTCAAAACTCTCGTACATTTCATGTACAACCAAAACAGAAGCAGTACAGGTTCAGGATGAATCATCGATTCCCCTTTCCAGTGGTTCAGATTAAAAAATCGTTATAAACCCTACGGAATTACACAACTCATCTATGCAGCAGAAAATGCCAAAATGTGTCTTGTGGAGAACTACTACTTGTCTATGATGTAGATTTCTTAATTGTGTGTATATAGGCATGTGTAACCTCTCTTGGGGTAATATTGATCTGTTTATTCTGTCAGATTGTTAGGACTCAGCTAGCTTTTGGAGATGAATTGCTTTCCCATAATGTAAGTCATTGGATTTTATGATGCAGGTTATGGTGTTAGGTATGGGGGAAAATGTAAGTGTTTAAGCTTCTAATTAATGTAATTCCATGTAATGTCCACAAAAGTCATGGAAAGAAGAACTTGTAAGTGCGTGATGGTCTGTGTGTATCTTGTGTGTGCGTGTGTGTGTGTGTGTGTGTGTGTGTGTGTGTGTGTGTGTGTGTGTGTGTGTGTGTGTGTGTGTGTGTGTGTGTGTGTGAGAGAGAGATACTAGTAGTTCTCTATGATATCACTCCTTGTTCTCAGGTGAGGTAGAGTTGTTTCCATTAAAATCGTTCCCCTTTATAGAGCCACTAATGATGTGTCATTAAGATACATTGATTTCCCCTTGAGGGAGTGGTATGGAGGAATTCACTACTTATGTGTGTTTCCCAAGGCAATATCATCATGTGTGGACCTCATTACCTCTATCACAGTCATAGAAGATTAATACAATGGAAGTGGTGCACACTTTAATTAGCTTACAAATGTATGATGTGTTTGCACACCGCATGATGAATTTATCACGAAAGTGAATACGGTGCATTTACGTTGAGCTAAAAACATGGAATAACCGTAACAGTTGAGGTAATAACCGTTATTTGGATTTGTCTAGAGGTTTCCCTAATCTTTGCAGGATTTGTCAGAAATAATTCCCTGACATAGAGTGGCTGAGAGGCATCATGGAGCATATGCTAGCTAACATAGCCATTCAGCTCCTTGCCAAGCATCTGCTGATCCCATATGGATATTGACTGAGAGTGTGACTGAGGGGGAGAGACACACTTTCTGTTTGTTTTTCAAAGGGATTTTTTATCATTTCTTACGGATGGAGGGAACTATGGGAGTATACAGATAATTAGTGCTGGCTATTGATTAAACCAGCAGACACAACGATCACTATTGTTCATCTTGGATTCCAACAATTGTAAATGTATTTCGATGAACGTTCCAGAGATAAAGATGGCAATCACAAGAATCAGTATATCTGAATTCAACTGACTTCTTTGTGTTTTTAAAGGTACGTGATTGTAGCTTAAACTTATTTTCCAACAACTCTGTGCCGCAAAGGCAAACAAAGGTAGAAACAGCAGACAAAGGCCAATAGAGAACAATGCCCACGTATAATATTGCATTTGAAGCTATGACTGGCAAATGTGTGGGCTGGTAAACATGAATGAACGTTTTCTAAATGTTGCCGTGAGTCCCAGGAGGCTCGGAAAGGGACCCCTGTTGCTTTTAATTCCTATGTGCATTATTAGGCTTGCTTTATTAGATATGACACCGACAACTCTTTCAGATTGAGCCTCCCTCAAAAGTCCACCCCACCCCTGTCTGACAATGTTCACAGTTTAATGAGCGCCCCCTGCGCTAATGCCACTGTAAGTCATCTCCTTCCCTACTACTTCTCTAATCATATTGAAAAAGGTGCACGAGTCACCCTTTGAGCTGTCACTCGGCGGGTTTGTGTCTCCCTTACCTCTCACTTGTGCACCACTCCACAATACTTTTTTTATGCAGGACATAGTTGAATGAATAATTTCTCCCTTGTTCTGCTCTGTCTTTTTTGAAAATGTATTCAAGTCCTTGAACCACAGAGGCATCTGGGCTGTTGCTGTAATGTCATGTAGGAATCTCCGCAGCTCTTTCAGTTATCTTGCAGATTTACGTTCTACCCTTCAAACACCTCCATTTCTTGTTTCGATCAGATCCCACCTGGACAAGCACTCGTCTTAGGTCCAGAATTTTCAATTTCTACGCCTCACCTGCTGTAGGTTATCTGTCTAGGTCTGATATGAATGGACGGAATGGAGTCTCAGCTTAAGTTTATGTCAAGGTATGTGAATAATGCTTAGTTATGTAGCAAACGGCCCTGCCGCCGTCTGCACGGAAGAAAGCTGCTTCCTGCCTCTCAAACAAAACACACAGAGACAGTAAGTGCACTTAACTGCTGACCTAAAATAAAACCAAATGTAGCTTAATAACTTGGCAAACGGACTTGCTAACTGGTACACTTTGAGTGCACACAAGTGGCTCATTGCTATCTGCTGCCTGTCATTGACAAAGCGACTACCAGCCTCAGCCTTGACTACACAGAGAGGCTGGACAGGAGCCGAACATGCGGGGAAGGACGTCCCCGGACCAGCCTAAGCCATCCTATTAGGCTCCAATTATCTTTGAGATGATAGCAAGGCTGCCAAGTAAAGCTCATTCCAACAGTGGTTGGGAAACGGTGTGTCCTGGTATGTCCGCCTTGTATTTGCAGCACTGATTGTGGTAGAATATGGAAAAGCAATGCAGGGAGTACTGTCATGAATACTGTGCACACACCCATATGACCAATCAACCTTCATCTTTCACTGTGCCGCAGTGGAGAAAGCATCTCGCCCTATCTGAACTATGCTCGGGGTTCACTGCAGTAGGCCACTTACAGTTAGTAAACGCATCACAATGCTATATGTAGTTTATATGACGTGGATAAAAGATGGTCGTTTGGATTAAAAAAACAATGGAAGTGGCTCTGCTTAAGTGTGGAAGTGACTAGAAAGATAACTCAACATTGACTGTTCTGTTTTCACACGTGACACAAACTGTGTTCTGAGCTGAACTGAGTTCTTATTTTCCTCACTTTTGGCCAAATACAAAATGGAACATAATATTTGAAACAGGAACAAATTTGTCCATGGCATTTCACTGGCGTGTCGTGGCATGAAAACAACTCCCAATCCGTCCCCTGCAATTGCATATTGGCAATCTTTAACCCCAATTGCAATATATGAAAATAGAATTGGCCCTCTAACCTTAATAAATAAATCTGCAGGTAAATAAATGATAACCAGATAGAAGCTTTCCTCCTGTTCAGGGCTCATTACAAAGGTACATAGGTTTTAACTTACATACGTCCGTAAAAAAAAGGTTGTGCTTGTGGACCCCATGAATCCACAGTGATGGGATTTTGTTCTTAACTAGGCACGAAACCCCCCAACAAATAAGAACGCATACAATACAAACGTATCACTGAGAGTAGATTAATTGGCATTGCTCCAGTTTTACGTTTGTGAAGACCGCATTTAAGTTTTTCATCTTAATAATAATCAATGCTTGATTAGTCCCACAATTGGGAAATGTACACCCATTTTTACCCATCCCACACATTCGGGAGCAACGGGCTGCCGTGAGGCGCAATAAGTGTTAGGTGTCTTGTTGAGGGACATCTCTAAGGAACCATCAACATTAAGTTTGCCAGAGGATCTTCTCTACTCCAAGCGCCACGGTCTTGTGAATGATTAGATTAGATATTTGGAAAGTTAACTCAATACTTCTTGGAAGGCTATTTTATGGTTACGGTTAATATATATAACAAAATTCCCCATATCTCCCTCAAAGGGCCTGTTGACTTCCTCCCCGCCATGGCATTTAAACAATGCTACCTGTTGAATGTTGGAGGGCCAGCCGAAGGTCATCTGCTTCCCTTAACACTGAGTACAGTGAACTTGCCGGACAAGCTACTGTTGCACCAATGCAGAGGAAAAATGCACCCGTTTTATTTTGTATTATGCAGACAGCATGTGGGGCGTCATTCAGGCCTCCTGAAATTCTGCACAGCACTGGCTGTGGCAGGGTTTTTTATACTCCCTACCACACTGTTCTCCTGCAAGGCAGATCTCTTAACGATATGGCCCATGAAACATAAGTGCATTGCATGCTGCTAATGAAGAGCATAACAGTCCGCTACACTCGCGGATGACTGAGATTACGTCGAAGCATAATCATGATATAATTGTGGGCAACAGCATGAAGCCATGGAGCCGACAAAAGTTGTGTTTTCGGGGCCGGTCTGTGCACATGGTCAGAGTCGATACCTATGCATGTCAACTACGCAGGGCTCTTCTGACATACTGTATTGAATGAACGAACAACAACCAGCCCATGAACTAGTAATCTATGATTAAGAATATATGGTTGCTTTGCAGCACACATAAATTACGTCTCCCACCGCCCCTCACTGTATGGCTTTTCTGCGCTGTTGTAGCTCATATTGATGTGGTGCAGTAACCTGCTGTGGGTCAATACATCATGCGGCCTCACAATTAATGGCAGAGCACCACTAGTGAACTTGGCCATCTGTACACCAGTTAGGGTGGTTGAGGAGATAAGGGCAACCCCAGACACAGATCAGACCAAGACAATGCACAGCTAAAACTAATAAAAAAGCCTGATTGATTTCTTTTTTCTTGAGAAAATGCATTGAATTACTATAACACAGACCACAATACCAAGACAGAGACAGAGGGGTTGGGGGCACGTAAATGACAGAGGACGGGGCAAACAATGATTCATTCCCATTATATATAATTGCAATATAATGGGAAAACATCGTGCACTCTGGCAAAGAGAGAAACAACCAGATGCATTGCTGAAGGAGTGGAGTGTACACGCGGGCGCGCACACACACACGCAGAGTATATTGATGGATCGACGGGCAGTTTATTGCTGGATTGTGGCGTGTCCCTCTCGGTGCCAGGTGCAGAACACCACGACTGTCTCTGAGAGAGAATCAGTCCACTAAGTAAAATACAAATCTGAACGGTCCCCGTTCCTTCAGCCCCTAAGAGTTCTAGGGAAGGGGTCAGCATCGGGCTCAAGCTGGACATACGCACAGTTTAAGACTGTGAATGATGCAGGGCGAAGCTCTGGAAAGTTGACTTGCATCCAGCGTGTGCCTCGATTAGTATTTCAGTCCACGCCAATGAGCCAGCGACTCTAACTAGTCGTGTGTGTGTGTGTGTGTGTGTGTGTTTGAGGGAGGGGGGGGGGGGGGGTCGATCTCATTCTCATTTAGTCACCACAGGTTTATTTCCTCGTCTCACGTTAGAGATTGTTGAACCAAATATTCAAGCGCACGACGTTGGGAAAGACAAGTACAGGCTCTACTCAGCCATACCGCCAAGAAATGGAGGGGAAAAAACAGATTGCAGCTCTGCGACTAACTGGCTTCAGCCACATCCTTCAAGCTCCCCGAACCACTTGACGAAAAGCACAAAAACGGGTATCAAGAGTGCATTTTGAAAATGAGATGACCGTTTTTTGTTTTATTCACAAATTTGAATCAACCCAGGTTTCAATCGGAAGAGACACATAGGCGCCGTTGTGGTGCATAGTGATAAAGGAAGACAGCAGGAGAAATATAAAATTATATATATATATATATATATATATATATATATATATATATATATATATAATTTTTAAAAACTGTAAAAGATGGTATAACGAAACAGAACTCACCCATGTCCGCGTCTCTGTCAGCTCCAGCCTACAGGTTTTAATGGGTTCTTGTGCGCGACATTCGAGTCCGCATGACGCGCTCTCAACAGACAGGTACCGTCCTAATCCACTAGCCCGGTCTCTCCGCGCAGACGCCGACTTCCAAAGCGCACCTTCCTTTTTTACTCTCACGGACCTGCTTTTGCTATCCGGTTTATTTCTGCATCTGTAGCCGTGCACCCGAAACGGGGCGAATGTCATTTACCTCCAACTCGAGATAAAAATAAATATCCTGTTTCCAGAACTCCCTATCCACGTCTTCGCAGTTTTTTTTTCAAGTTCCATAAAAGGAGCACTGCAGTAGGCGTAGACAACAACGGAGCCGCGTTCAATTGATCCGTGTCCGTCTTAAACGGAGACTCCACAAAAAACGTGTCTCAAAAAACTTCACGTATTGGTTTGCATGGTGCACAAAATAAACAACAATATGTTATTTTTCACCAAGAGTCAAGCCGCACGCAGATTCCTCAACCAAGTGGAGCCCCTTGGAATCTACCCTCGAGGGTGCTCAGACGGATCGGCGCATGGCACACAGACGGAAAAAGTAACGTCCGGCTATAAGTCTCTGCGAACCTGCTGTGAAACGAGTCAAACGGAACAATCACATATCCCAAAATCCATCGTTTCCCTTGGAGTCTAAATCCGCTTTCGATCCACACTGTTTCGGAATGCACGCATGACGCCGTGGTTAATCACGTCCGCGTGTCAACGCAACTTTTTCAGGCAGAATCCGAATGCCCTCTTCTGGCGAGAGCGCATCCCGTGAACTTATCCGAGGGTGCGTCGAGAGTCGGATGTTATAGGTGGTAGGGATTTTTTAGAGGAGGGGGCTGCCAGGGATGACACAGAAATGCATCTGCCTTCCTCCCCGTCATCACGGAGAAAGTAAAAACCAAACATCACAAGCGACTCCATTATTTAATTAATGTCTCATTATTGTCTTCTATGTGTTTCCAGTATCCAGTGTTTTATTGTATGCCCAAGAATGAGATACATGTGTCTATAATGCCTAATTAATTAGTTATTATTTCACATCTATGTGTGCTTATAGGGGCATGTGTGTGCTCTAAATTTGTGAGGACCCTGTTGGAGTGTCAGACCTTCACAGTGACAGTTGTTTAAGAGTTGAGAATCAATTTCAGCCCCAATGTTAGAATAAGGTTTCGATTCAGGTTGGGTGACGGATCGCCGGCTAGTGTGATTATGTTTGTGGTTAGAATCATTGCAATGCAATATGTTGTGTTGCGAGGGTTCCTCGCAAGTACAGACACGCATGGGAGACCGTTAGAGCTGCAGGACCCTGTCCGTGGTCCTGTAATGGTGTGCGACTGAAGACACCAGTGGCTGATCCTCAAACTGCCAAGGGTTTTCTGATTCCTAGTTTCTAACAGTAACAGTTTCAAAGGAACGAAAGGAAGCAGAAGTTGTAAACAGAAATTGACGCTAACCCACATTGGAAATGAAAACTGCACTTAATTAATACTGGCCTCCCTCTTCGTCGCCCCTTGCTGCCTTTTTAGAGCTTGAGTGTATTTAAGAAAGGAACGAGCAGCTGCATTATTTTATGTGATATATATATATATATATATATATATATATATATATATATATATATATATATATATATATATATATATGTGTGTGTGTGTGTGTGTGTGTATGTATGTACTCTATTCAAAGCTTATAAAGTTATTGTATGTATTGAAGTATATACTATTGTAGTATATATAGATGTATTTTTCCCTCCCAGGGAAAAAGTAAGAGGTCAGATTGACATTCTACTACAACATCAAAATACCACTAACTGAAGGGATGATTTAATACTTTTGATGTTTTGTTTGTAAAAATCCAAATAATATATATTTTTTTAATTATTTGCTACACCAGCATGGCATGCAGCTCTAACTATAAATTACGGGATACAGAAACAGAATAGGAATGAAGTAGTTTTCCATCATAGCACTTTTACTTCAGTAGACTGAATACCACATTAACCACCTACTTTCTTGGAGCCCTTGCTGAATAGAACATTCTGGGTGTCATATGTCTTTCATTGTGGAAGGTCGGACTATTTAAATGAAAATATCCTGCAGGTCTTTAAGCTAGCACAGAGGTTTGTACCCTGCGGCACCTCTTGCACTTATTCCCAGCTAATCACTTGGTAGGTAACTGCCACCAAATGGCCTTCCCTCTTCATCTTGTGGTATATTATATGCAGGCATAGTAATCAGGATTGTAGATCAGCGTCGGTAATACATGTCACATGAATGTCAAAGACATCTCTAAGCTCCAACACATTTTTTTGCAATAATCCTGTCCTGTTGCATCGGCAAATATCCATAATACCAAATTTCTTCACCCATTCATCTGCTCGGTTACATGTTTTCAATGCACCTCTCAAAGATCGTCTGAGACGATTCTCAGACAAGGTCTTCCAATCTTCTCGCTCCGTGGCTCACCCTCAGCTCCAATGCAATTTGGCTGATGACTTTACTCCTGGATGTGGTTCAACAAGCAGAGGCCATTCCGCTGACGGTGCTCAAAACCATTTATACCCTGTAAAGTTATGGAGACAGAGACAGTGCCAGTCCACAGCGGGAATTTCTATCCTGAAGAAATAGAACTGTGTAGTTTAACATCACCTTTCTTTTTACTCCACCAATGAGTTGCATCTGCTTGCGTCTGTCAGGTAGATTGTATTCAACATTTCCACTGGGTGGAGAAGAAGAATTTAGAGGTCTTGAACAGAAAATTCTCTTTCACTCTGCTCTCATATAAAATTGCCTTTTTTTGTTTGGACAATATAAAGGCGACTCTAGCTGGTTATTGACATGAGGAACTGCGTCTTCACCCAACAAAATATTGTTTGAAATTGCAACATATAATGTGAAGACATCTGCTAAAAAGAAAAAAGTATTTGACTCCCTCTACTTGGTATTTTGCTACTAAAGTCCACCAATGCATGGAACATTATGCTCATACATATAGACGTTTACAAGTAAACATCTGTCTTTCCATGAAACAGCTTAGTTGTCTAGCCAATGCTTGATTAGACGCTCTTCTCTGGTTCAAAGTGGGTTTGTTCAAATGTTAAATATATTGGTAATTTCAATAGCACTTCTCCTTTAGCTCTCTCAGAAACACAGGTATGTACAGAGAAAATGGAACTGAATATTGGTCGTATTCTGGGTCGTGTGTATGGGTCCATCCATCCTGCATGTTTGCATGCAGCATTGCTTTGATTGATAACAATATGAAATAAAAGGAATAAAGGTATAGTATAGAGGTAACGTTATAGACCGAAAAATAGCTGGAATAGAATATGGATGGATGAACAGGCCGCGGATTGTTGAAAGACTAACCTGTCTGGGTAAATGTATGGCCCTCACTGGTGCATGTGTTCTGTCTAAGTGACTCTGACAACAGATGATATTTGCAGACTTTCTCCAGGGTGAGAGACAGCTCCGCTCTGTCCTTCTCGTGTTAACATTAGACTGGGACGTGTTCTCTGCTGTGTTCTTTTCTTTTTCCATTTCTTCTGATCTTAAGCCTGGAAGAATCATCTTAACCTGCCTCAAGGCAATTTTCAACCCGACAGAGATTCTTGAGTTAGCTTATGAATGTGAATTATCGAGCAAACATCCCGGAATGGTGTATACAGTCATTACTGCACCTTACAAAATAACCTTTTTTTTCCCCGATTTGGTTATTTTTATTTTGGAGTCATGAAGAAAGGTGTTTCTAGTCCATTTACTGTTGTGATGCCAAGGTTGCAGCAGACGCAGCAGATGCAGTAGTTGTAATTTTCCGTTCTGCAGGTCGCTTCCATTAACCTTTACCTCAAGCTGGGTTCCAATCTGGAGGGCTGTGTTCTACACACTGCCGCTCAGGTTGTGGCCAAGGTTTTTGGGTTCAGACATGCTTGAAACCAGACGTATGCAAAGCGCTTGGAACATGTTAAACAAACAGGGTAAAGCACACTATTTGTATAGAAGGCAGAGGGGAGGAGTGGGATGACAGTATGGTGAAAAATGACTTTACCGATGATTATGTTTGAATGTTTTAGCCCATATTCCTCACTTTTCATAGTGGGAAATCTCATAGACAGTCATAGGGCTCCGCTTTATAATTGTGTATTTTGTCTAATATTTCCAACATTAATATGTTTCCATCAATTTTTGTACAAAACTAAACTAAATTTGTTAACTGTGTCGTAGAATATTATTTAGTAACGTATTACAGTGATCTGATTACTTTACGAGTGGGTTAACTTCGAACCTTCAAAAATGTGGTATTGGGCATGTTGGCTAGTTTCTAAGCTCAGTATGTGGAGCTATAGTAGCCTAAAGGAACCAACGTGATAGATTTGGCTGATTACAGTGTGTGCATGATACAGTTTGGAGTTGGCTCTTTTAATGAGTAGTTTCTTATTCTAGCAGGAGAATATGTCCTGCTCTAAATCAGTCGCAATTATCACAATGTCTGTGTGTCTGTTGCTCCTCCCAAAAAACCTCATTGGATTGCTGTTAAATCATGTTTATACTTAATTTGTTGCTCTTTTGCATTTCTCTTTATGTAACTATTAGCTCCGATTTCTTATTCATATTTCTGTAGCAGAAGTATTTTACATGGAAGGTCTTTGCAATACTAGCATTGATGGACTGTACTGTACACAAGCCTTTATACCTCATGCCTTTTATTCCCAAAATCCACTAAAAGGTGTTGCCTAAATTCAGCCAAAAGTAAAATGCATTATCACTTATAGCTGAATTAAAAATGCATATTTATTTTCTTAGATTGTAGTTATTTCAAAGTGTATATCTTCTATGAGTGGATAACACCATCATAAATACAAGATAATTCTTAGCTTTGTGTGTTTGTGCCAGACATGACACTACGTGCATTTTCTGCTGATTGGACACCGTCCATTGTTGTAAGAGCATGCCTTTCTTCCCTCAGTGTTTCTCCGTATTTTCTTGTTCCCTCAACTACTTGATTTCATGCCTGCTTCATGTGTTTTGTCTTGGCAAAGATGTCAGAGATAAGAGGTGGGCATCTGTGTATGGCAATGCCTTGCCATCTGTCCACTGCCCGTGGGGTCTCTGTGGACATAAGCTCACATGGGTGGAACATGGGGTGGCAGATAGTTTCCAGTTTGGTTCAGGGAATGTGCAAATTTTGTTTATATAATGATATATAATTACATGCATGACAAAAGAAAGCTGAAATGTACTTCAATCACTTCAAATTAATATTTGGTGGAATTTGGGGGAACTTGTATTGCTGATTTGATCTCATGTTGGAAATATTAAATAGAGAAGCTATAAGGTACAAACAGTCTTACAATGTGTATTTTGTTTTCCCTATTACCTTTATACAGAATGCCTTTTTACGAACATATAAGAACAAAATGAGAGACTCAAGGGATGTCTGTTGATGCTCTTGTGAGACAGAATAATTTACATAATGTAAGATGATAAGTATCTATGAACCCAGCAGATCAATGAGGTCCAATTACAGGCCACTGGAGTTTCTTATCTGCTTCAGTTTAACTTTGTGCTGCCTGTGGTCGCCCACTTTTATTAAATCCCCAATGTGATTAGGCTGACTGATTGGCACAAGTTGAAAATTATCACTGAATGCAATCGCTGTTTCCCTGCTTACTTTTGTGTTCAAAGACACAAGAAAAGAATCCTCAAGGATATACCTAATGCGGTTAGTGACCAAAAAAATATTTTGTTTCTGTGGAAGCAATATCATCGGGCTATTATTACAACGTATCTCATTATTTTATATAATTCCGGCAATGTTAATGGCTCCCTCACTTGTGACCTTTGCTAAATGAACACATGCTGCTTCAATGAAAAAGCGGGTCATTGCTACATTTTTAGTTTTCTCCCCATCTTGCACTTTTTGGGGCCTTTGGGAGGAGCTGTGAGAGGTGGGGCTGCACCTTTGTTTAAGTGCATTCACCTGTGAGCCATCCAAGGTTATTACATAGCCAGAAGGCACGGGTGGGACTATACAGACTTCAGACACACACAAATACACATGTACACATTTGCCTTTTACATCCATTTGATATCATATGTATACCATTTATTTTTTCATCTGAGCTAAATTAACAGTACTATTTGACTTTTGTCTAACAGAAACAATATCTGAACTTTCACCCTTTGCACCTAGTTTATAGTTGACTTGTGGATCACAGAGCAGCTCTAATCTTAATGCCGAAAAGGAAATGGAAAGGGATGCCGGCACATTGGGTTTATGGTTTCATGGTGACACATTGGAGGCGCACGGATTAACAAAGGCTCTGAAGAGCACTTCCATGTGACTCAGCATGTTTTGGCAATTACTCAGCGTGCTACCCACTCACTTTCCCCCTGACACACCCACCTCGTATCACTTACCAACAGGGGTGGTGGCTCGTCTGACTCCGTCCCCTTGTCCCGCTTGCAGCCCCTTATTTCTCTATTTTTGGAATCAGTCATTCTGGGCACGTTGGCCTCAGCACAATGTAAATTATTCAGCCTGGCTTGCCAGAGGCAGTGAGCGAATCATAAATCGCAGATGGTCTCGGGCTATTTCATATGGGTGACCGTGGTTAAACACCAATGCACAGAATCATTTTGAAAACACACAAATATAAGGTTTCATTACTTGTGGCTCGGCGAGAGAGTATTTGATTTTGAATTTGCACAATGAGGCCCTTTTTTGTTGTTGTTTTCAAATGTGCACAGTGTGCTTCATCATGTGACATGTAACATGTTCAGCACTTCCAATATCTGAAAAGATTCCTACAGAAGTTCATTGACTGGCGATGAATGCAAAATACTAGATATTTCGAAAGTTTTTCTTTTATCTATTTGTCTGTATTTATCCATTTATTTATCTCGATCTATCATCCACCGATTTATCTTTCAATCTATCCATCCGTTCATTTTCCTCTCCATGCATCCACCTATCCATCCATCAATCTGTCCATTCGCCTTGCTGTCTGTCTGACCAACACAATCAATCCAACTAACTGTCAATTAGTTAGTTGAATAATTATCTGTCCACCCACCTAAGAAACTATCCATCCAACAATATCTTAATCCATCAGTGCATCTATCCATCCATCCATTAATCAATGTATCCATCCATGCAACTATCTCTCCATTTATCGATATATCTAACTTACAATCAATCCATCCATCCAACTATCTCTTCATTCATTAATCCATCCAATCCACGCGTCCAGCTAACTTTGGATTTATCCATCCAACTAACCATTTCTCAATCCATCAAATAAACTAACTATATAAATTGATGTGTCCACCCATCAATCCAACCCATCCATCAAATTATCTCTCAATACATCCATCCAACTGTCCGTCCATCCATCTATCTATTCATCCAATTATCTCTCCATTCATCCATAAATTCAACTAACCATCTCTATCCATCTTACGATAGGAAGAGGTTTGCATCTATCTAAGAACCTATTCAATGATCTTTCAAAATTTCAAAATGTGCGATTAATTTTTTTTTTTTAATCTATTGACAGCCCTAATCAGAATCAAAACATTTACTGTTATTCACACGTCAATTAGTGGGGGGTAGAAATATCAAATATCTGATATCAAGCAAACTTTTTTTTAAAGTATTTTTTACAATTCCTGATTAATTACCTGTCATGGTGATGCTACGGTGGAACTTCTTTCCCCCTTGCTTGGCTGGTTGACTGTATTGACAGAGAGAGAAGTGACATGAAAAATGGGCTAAGGAAGCCTGTCTGGTCTTGGGCACGGATGCTGGATTGAGGAGGCACTCACTGGGGCAGCATTCATGTTTAGTGAGGCAGTTTGATGTTTACTTACACACTGTAGGAGTCACCTTCCTCAGACCCCCGGAGTTCACACACGTAGGCCAAGGGCACAACATACTCGCTTCTGTGACCTAGCTTTGTGTGGTAAGGGAATACACAGAGAACAGCTTAGAGGACTTGAAAGCACACAATATTAACTGACATTCATTAAATTGAAGGTTCATTTCAAGTTCACCCATACCTAAACCTAACTTCTAACTCAAATTTCTAATGGCCATTTTTAAGGTAATTCAGGGCTCATAGGAACAACTTCTTACTATAACTTAATAATAAAAAGCAAAACTGTTCAGTCTTTTGTAAGGTTGCATGTGCTGCATGGCAGCATTTCTTTATCACAGCTCAATAGCTCAAAACAGTGGCTGGCTGCAACTGGAAACGGCAAAGACAGTAAATCCCAAGGCCCCAAAAGCTGAAAAAAGCTAAATAAAGCTAAATAAAATAAAATATTAATTTGAATCACTTCGAGGTAGGTATGTGCTATGTTCCAGGGCTATTCTTAAAAAGCTGTTTCTCTGCCATTTCAAACAATCAAGCCTGTCAAACTCACAGTGCAATAGTTGCAATGGAGAAAGACAGTGTTAATGAAATAATGACCATTCTATTTGGATAAAATAAGTTGGGTTACCCAAATCTGATGGAAAATTGGAGCAGTAATTTAGCTATAACTTCAAAAATGCTTATGCTTAATGAACATAATTACACTGTTGATGATTTCAGTGCTCCTTATATGTACCTAGAAAATAGGAAAATTAACCATCACTACCCCTTAGAAAATGTTAAAAATGATTTTCCCCTATTGAACTGGTGTTTGGTTTGATATGTGTCCACAACAATGTCTAAGTTATAAACACACACACACACACACACACACACAAACACAGGCAAAACCATCAAGATTCACACAATGAACATCCTCTTCAAAATTCCACTAATGTCCACTCAGCATCAAAGAAACTTTCACCTTAATCCAGAATGAGCTGTCTTGTCCTTGGCCTCTAGTGATCAGGTGTGTCTCATTTGTTAGGGAGAGCGACCGTCTATTTTGTGAGGATTTTTCACATTCTTTCATTCACACAGCATCCTCCCTTACCACATTCAAGCTAATTTCCCTTAATGATCAGTAAAGGATAGAAAAATGATGGGGTTTTTCACATGTTGCTAAGAAGTCGAAGGCTCTCAGTCCCACAAAGATTAAAGGCAGGCTCTTTTGTGAACTACAGGGCGAACACCAATAAATTGTTATTGATGCTCTCGCGGGGTAATTATCAAAGGACCCGGAGGCAGAGATCAAATCACTGTGTGGTATTGACAGTGTGGCTTGATCCAAACAGGTAGTTTGGATCAGGCCACCAGAAAAAACACTATACAGGGTTCATCCGTCGGACTAATCACTCCTTTATAGCTTTAAAATTAAGTAATCCAAATCTGTAGTGTGGCCAAAAAACACAGAGCGACAGTGATAATTGGGCATGTTGTAGTACGGCAAGGGGGAAACATAATACATTTTAATTAACAAAAATGTTTCTATTAAAAAGAAAAATGACATGTACATTAATAAAGGCTGGTCCTACAAAAATAATTTAAACTCACATGCTGCCATGGTTTGAATAACATCTTGACATTCAATTGTGGAAAATAAGCTTATTTTTTGCTGCACGCTTTGCTACTGCTCTGTTGCGTTGCGCTTAGCGACCTCAGCTATTTCTCTCTAATGCAATAGAATATTTGCAAAAACACAGCTGAGCGGTTTTTAACTGGCAGCTTTCCTCACAAATCCCAGCTTGACTGGGTGTGCAGCCGTGGAAGTGTAGGAAAACAAGATCATCTTGAGTGTCGTGGAGTATTGAGGGGTGATAGTGGCAGGGGAAGATAAACAGCCAAAGAAAGGGAAATAAAGAAAGAGAAAACGAAATAAAGGGAGAGAAATTGACACAGAGAGAGGGTTTTCAATTCTTACCCTTCTTTCCCTGGTGCGTGTGCTCTGTGTGCATTTACGTGCCTTGCAGAAAGACCAGTGTTTTTTGTGTGCACATGCTGATGATTTTGACAGCTGGGCTGCATCAGCAAATACAAGGCCTATAAATTGCAATGGTTTCAGATGCCTCATTCGAGTATCGACTGATAATATGGCTGGGCCTCTGTGGAATAGCACAACAAACGCACACATAAAATACTAGCTGTTATCTCAGAACCCCCCCCCCCCTGTAATTCTACAAGCAGACACGTGTGAACACACTAAACAAATATAAATTGTAATGCCCACAAGCATGCATACCTTTACACCGAACATACAAATATGCTCCATATGTAAGCATACCGCTCACTGAATGGGATGGACATATTCACCAATTCTGCACATTCACTAAGACTCTCCTTACTCTGCAAAAAAGTAAAACTTTTGGGAATCCTTCATCATAAGCATGTCCGGTATAATCCTTACACCACTTATGCAGGGTTTTAAATGCACAACCCAATTAAATGCCCTTGTCCTTAATCAAACAATAAAGGAATGCTTCACCTTCAAAACTATTTGTATAAAAGTGATCGATCCCCTGGTTATCTTGAATTCTTGAAGAAAATTTTTCTCGCCTACATCCACAGCGAATGGAGTATACGGAGTAACGGTTCTTCTTCAAAATGTCAAATGAAATTTTTTTAATATGGTGATGTTTGTGCAAACTTTGAAATCGGATCAAAAGTTGAATAATTTATTTCAGATGTTGCGAGGTTCACATCACCTTTTTTAGCAAAGGCTAATACCCCTAACACCTCACCCCCAAAATGACAGGTGCATATTCTGAAATTGCCACTGACTACAAACACATTCATAGGACTTTGTAAACCCCTAAAGCCGTCCATCTATCTGTATATATCTATATTTCCATTTTTCTAAATTCATACTGTGGCTGCTTTGCGGATATATCTTCCAGCAAAAGGACTGGCTGCCCTATTTGTGTGGTTGCCATGCTACAGTTGGTCATTAATTTTCATTAAGTGCTGTCAGAAAGGACCATTAACCAGGCTAGAGAATAATCACCTCCCCATAGTGGTGACCCGTTTATGGCTTAGGTAAGGGTTAACCGAAACAGCCCACCTTAGATGTACCAACAACACAATGCACTTGATGCAGAACACGGTGAGCATTCTGTAATGAAGCATTTTACATCAATAAGACCAAGGGGTAAACTACCTCCATGACAGAGGGGAAAAGGGCAAAAGCTTTAGCCCAACATTCCAGTTGACTTTGAGTTTAAAGTTTTCCTTCAGAAAAATAAAAGGATTAATGACTCACTCAACGGGTATTATGTTTAGAGTTTTGCTTTTGGATGAATGTGTAACTACTCAAATACCCACTTTTGCATGTTGGCACCATTTTAACGCCTAAAGGCTGACCTTAATCTTATGGATAAGAGCATTATTCTCTGTATTTCACACTACAGCGGGGTTTGGGGATTATCACCAGAATCATGCAAGCATTTCTATCAAATATATTGTTTGAGATTAAATGTGTGTTTTCTGGCTTGTAACGCATTAGAGGGGTGGAGGCTCTCTTTTTTATTAGCATCATATGAGAAGTTGGCCTAATCACTTACAATACTAAGACATACTGGCGTGATGGCAAGGAGAAAAATACAATTTTGGCTGATAACCATCTTAGCTTTACTTGTGTCAGGGTTTTTTGAAAGGAGGCACGCCTAGCGTCTCCAGTACCCTAGGTGTGCCTCCTGCAGGGGTACCGGGCTTTTTGGGCATTTGGAGGAGTCAATTGCGGAGCCTGCTTTTTTTGGCAGAAAGACACCAGTCGGTGGCTCCCTACTGTGGGATTGTCAAACTTGATGTGGTAGAGGGAGACCGGCCGTTATATTTGAGCGACTGTGGAAACCCAAGTACACCAGGCACAGACCTTGTTTTGAACGACACACCAGTCAGAAAACATTTTCCACCTGTTTAGTTTCATGGCCGGGTATATCACCGCCCAGGATTCAAAATAGTCTGACTGGTTCTATGCAACCCCTCACCACCCGGTCGGGCCCTCCCGTGGCTAGGCCCAGAGTTGAAGGGGGCAGGAATTGGGAGGCCAAACCCGACCCTTCAGTTCTTCCTGTTGTGAAAGAACTATGGGAAGCATTAACAAGATTTAATTCAATTCATTTTATTTCATATAGGCCAGAATCGCAAATTCGCCTCAGAGGGCTTTACAGTCTGTAAATGCGATATCCTCTGTACCCCCTCTGTCTGCAAACCCAAGGGAACCACAGCTGAGGCAGCCTACCCAATAGGCGGAGAAAGGATGTAATGTAACCGCCTTACCCTTCAGAACAGGACACACAGGCCCTCAGAGCAGTATTTTATCCCCTGCAATTACAGGAGGGGGGCAGTAACACACCCTGTAAGCACCCATGGAAAAGGTCTGAATGGAAGCCCTCCGGGTAGTAAATGAAGAAACTGCCTGTGGTGATGCACCCTGGAACATGAGAATACGTCCACCCTCAATTATTCTCCCTCGGCCAGGAGCTAAGGAGGTTCAGGGATAGGGATTTCGCTGGCTTGACGCTTGTACCCATGGGATAGGGTGGAAACCACCCCAGGATGCATGAACTGCCCAGTAGCAATCTGAAAGGAAAAAACGATGGCTGGCCCAGAGACATCATCTCCGGCCCCCCCCTTCCTCCTGACAGGGGTGTGCCAGCCAAATCCAGCGGTGAGCCTGGAGCTGGGCGGACACCCAAATTCCCTTGACATGAGGGGAAACACCTGCAGTGAAGCGCGACTGAGGCTGGTGGCGGAAGGATCGAAAGTAGCCTGCTGCAGTTTGAAAGAGCAAGCATGACTTGGGAGAAGGACAGTCCCTGTAATTATTGGTGTCCCATCAGTTAGTTTTAGAGAGAGCACCCTGCCCACACAGAAACAGGGCGAAAGACATTTTTAACAGGGAGGAGAGAGCAAAGACACTGCATTGTCTTGTCAATGTCGGTGAGTCTTTGTTTTGCTTGTGTTCCTGGTCTGTGTTTGCACATAGCCTTTTATGAATATATGAATAAGTATTTTTTGCTTCAGTCTGCGATTGGTCCTACTTCTGCCACCTCACCGTGACGGTCTAAAGTCTAACTGGCGGACCGCGGTTCGTATCTGGACCCAGAAGCCGTCCCATTTGAACCCGGACCAAAAGCTAAAAAATATTTAAACGTGACCGGCGCAGCTTTGGTGATCTTTACGATAGTGGCTTAAAGCACAGACCAATTGCATTGTAGTTAAATCATCCCACGTGACCATTCGAGTCTTTGCATTCCAGGCAGGATGATGATGTTGTCTCAATACTGCGGACAGGTTTAAAATCCTGGCAGGTCAAACTAGATCTTAATTCTCCCATTTACCCCAAAATGTGTAAAGAGTGGATACATATATATGAATTGAAGCAC